CATAAGATATAGTGCATAAATAAATAAATATATATATATATATATATATATATATATATATATATATATATGAATAGTTCAAAGTAGTTTTCACATTATAGTGTCATTGTTCATTTTTTAACCATGTAAGGAAGATAATTGTTTCATTTATAGTAGGAGGGGTTGGGCTTTTTTTCAGGAAGAAGCCATTGCAATTATTTTTAGACTCAAAGGGCAAAAGGACAGCAGAAGTGGTCAGACACAATATGACCTGCAGGATGCTGCCATAAATCTGATCGAGTTTCACGTTTCATAAAGGTTATTTTGAAAGATTATTTATTCATTTAATTTTTCGGTTTGCACATTGAAAGACACCTTTTATTTTGAAATAAAATGAAATAAAATCTTTTTAACAAATCAGTAAACCACGTTGTGTATAAATGTCTCGTATGCTCAGTTGCACATGTAAAAAAATAAATTCTTAGTTCTGTCAATTAAATGAATGATTCCAATTTTACAGTTGTCAATTTGTCTGTCATTTAAGTAGCTTAATTTGGAAAACAAGGGATGTTAATTCCAGATAAAACCTTCCCTTGCATTGTATTGGATTTCCCCATTCCCAGTTTCCAAAATCCTTGGAATGCTATTGTTTACATTGACAAAGGCACAGCATGCTTTAAGACTTTCCACTTGATGGCTCAGCATTTTTTTTTTCTTTTCTTGTTGTACTGAGATAATTCGATTTTGTTTAAAAGACAGACTTGTCAGTTTAAAATTGGTGCAAAAAAAATAAAGTGACGTGAAAAGAAAAGATGGCATAATTAAGTGGTTTAGTACGAAGTTAAAATATTAAAAATGATAAACTACAAATTTACCTATTGACAATTCATAAGATCTGGATGATATTTTTTGCCAATAACTGAGATTTGAAATTAAACTTGTGAATAATGACTCCTACTTTTTAGAACAACTTCACATGTTTTCATTGTTTCTCAACATGCACATCTTTAATGTTATAGCAATTCAGCATCAGAGGAATCTAACCGCTCTGGATCGGAGTCTGGGAGTCAGTCGGAGAGTGAGCAAGGAAGTGATAGAGTTCGTTCCCGGCGTTCAGAGTCCAACAGCACTTCTGATTCTGAGAGCCACTCTGAGTCAGGCAGTGAATCCACTGGGTCCAAACCCCGTCAGACCTCAACGCAGGTCAAAGACAAACCAGTCAGGAAGAAAGACTGCCTGGCAGATGTGAAGAAGGTACAAAAATAGGCCAGCCTGAACATTAGGATCAATCAGTTATTCCCAGTGGATTTAATCTTTAAGTTTATATTTAGCTGGTGATTAATTGCTTTCATTTAAAATGAATTATGTCCCTAATTATCATAGATGTGGGAGGAACATCCAGATGTTTATGGCGTTAGAAGATCCAGTCGCAGCAGGCAAGAGCCTGCTCGACTCAACATTGGAGCTGAGGTAGGCTGGCTGTATGTAACTCAACACTGACCCCTGGTGGTTTATTTTTGTTTTGCATTTTCACGTAGTGTGTTGACATTTACAGTACTTTGACATGTTCTGCTTCTTGGACTAAAGTAATTACAGACATGGTTACTTAATAAAGCGTAAACATTTATGTTTGGCTCTAGACCCGGGACTGATCAGGCTTGGCAGCCCAAGTCGTGTAAACATACTCCCATGTGTTGAAAGCTTTGTTTCCTTGATTAATCTGAAACATGACATTTCCATGCCTTGTAATCTAGTACTGTATATTCAAAATGGATTTTCATGGATTTTTAGGGCAGCAGTGATTCGGAGAGTGAAAGTCCCAAAAGAAAAGGCTCACGGCAGAAAAAGAAAGAGTAAGTGTACTGGAAGCATTTAAATAGGTCTCTCACTCTCCTTTTTCAATATTTTATTTACAAATGTGTGCTTGTTTTTTTCCTCATTAACGTCTCCATATGTAACATTTAGATTCACCCATATTTTTGCATGTAAATGTCTTTTAGGCAGTTGTTTTTCTTTTACACTAAATTCATTGTTTATATTAAAAAATATTTAACTTAAATTACACTTTTCAGAGTCATTCTTGTAAGTAATTGAAAGAAATGCAATTTACTTGTTAAAATGTTAACTGAAAAAAAAATGGCTCAGAAAAATGAAGTTTTGAGAATAGATGTTATTTCATTTTTTTTTTTTTTGCAGATACTGCTTGATATGAGGTTTTGTTATATAGTGCAATGAGATTCATACATTATTAAGTATGGGTAATAAGTATATGGAATAAAAAAAAAAAAAAGAAGTTTACCTGTAAACCATGAATGTAAACATTTAATTTTGAAAATTGTATGTATTAAAAATGCAATTCATTAGTTCTGAATACATTCAAAAGTTTGGGGTTAGTAAGATGTTTTTATATATTTATTATTTGTCAATAATTTTATTCAGCAAGGATTTATTCAATTAAATCAAAAGAGACAATTTTATGTTTTATGTTATAAAATTTTTTTTTTTTTACTTTGTTCATCAAAGAATCCTGAAAAAATTGATCACGGTTTCCACAAAAATATTTAGAAGCACAACTGTTTGCAACATTGATGATAATAAATAATGTTTCCAAATCAGCATATTAGAATGATTTCTGAAGGATCACATGACACTGAAGACTGAAGTAATGGCTGATGAAAATTCAGCTTTGCCACCACTGGAATAAATTACATTTTAAAATAGAAATTTAATTTGTAAAATATTTCTCAATATTACACTTTTGCTGTATTTTTGACCTAGTAAGTGCAGCCTTGGCAAGCATGAGACTTATTAAAAAAAAAAAAAACCTTACCAACCCAAGCTTTTGAACAGCACTGTCTATGCACTGAAGCGTCTCTCCCAGCATGTTTAATTGCCTGCCCGGTGGGGAAGCAGGGAAACTGACTGGCTTGCAGCTTTACGTTAGGGTAGAAGTAGAAGCTAATAGAGGTCCAATAGATGAACCTGTGGTATTTCTGTGTTAAAAGAAATACCTGGAAAGATGATGACTCAAATGACGAAGAGGATGTTGAGGAAGAGGCCAGCAGTTCAGAGAGTGAGCAGGAAGAGAAAAAAGTTAGATCCAGACGACTTGCTGCTAGAAGGTAAGAGTGTAGCGAAGCCTGGCCTTCAGACAGCGCATCGTGAATTATTAAATGAGCTGTCTTATTAAATGCAAATGATGATGGCTCATTTTTAATTACTATGGTTGCGCTAAACTTATTGGTGTGACTTTCTTTGCTCTATCAGAAATTAACGCATGTGTAAATTGTCAAAGCATGTATCCTACTTTTGGCATAATGATGAATATAATCATTCAAATTTTGATTAATGTGAGTAATTTATGAAGAAATAGAACTGCTATATAAGTCTGACAGCTGTCTCAAGGCTATTGGCTTATGAGTCGGGCTGATAGGTGTGAAAACAAGTCGCTACACTTGCAAACACATCAGGGACGCGGAACAAAAGGCAAAAAGCCTAGCACGGTAAATGAGTGTATATATGTGTGTGTACTTCTCTCTTTCCCTTCCCAGACCACAGACAAAATCATCTGCTGGCAAGCAGCAGTCACAAAAGGGACGGAAACAGAGGAAGCAGGAGTCCTCAGATGAAGAAGATGAGGATGAGGATACCCCAAAAAGACAAACAAGGCGGCGAGCAGCAACTAAAGTCAGGTATGGATTGTTCCTATAAAGGAGTTTATGTAGAGCTCATGTATTGGAGATGCCATACTTCTGCCAAATATAGTAATTTATTCAAATGCATACAATAAATACACATATATATTTCTGAATTTATTAATTTTGATATTTTTGGGGGTTAGGGGGTAAAATACTTTTATACTTATGTGCTAATACATTTTACCTATTTAAAAAATGTCTGACAATAATAATTAAGATGGGTTCACTCACTTATATTCTATTTTTTTTTTTTTTTTTACTTAACCCTGTAAAGCCTACTGTATTATATCTGATATCTGATTTATAGTTTGTCCTATTTTTTAGCAAAGTAAACAGCCTTTTAGTTTAATCCTACTAGAAAATGTAATCAATATGATACATCAGGTCTTTGAGGAACATTAATATGTACATCGCTCAGTTATTGTATTGCATTGGAGTATTGCAAAAGCTAAATAGATCTTTGATCATAAAACAAAGCATTTAAATAACATCTTGATGGATATTATTGGGAGAAATAGAGTAACAACTAATATTTATAGGCATAAGTAGACTGTTGTACTGTGAAATTCTTATTGATTTACATTATAAGCTATAAACATCTCATAATTTTAAAAATATCAGCAACTGCACCAAATTCCATACATTTGCTTAGTTACTTGCTTTGGCTCTGGAATATTTTCTTCCTCCTTGAGGATGAACTCCTGTATTCTCCTATATCACACTATGCGAGCCATAAAAGCCTGATGCATCAAAAATTATACTTGACAGAAAACACGCATGCAAGCTTTTTAAACATATATTTTTGACTGTTTTTTCAAATGTCAGTCTTTACCGGATTCTTTTTTTTTTTTTTTTTACACCAAATGACATTTTTAGAGTCAATAAATTGTTCTTGAAATTGGTATAAAAGTTTTTAAAACCATACAAACTAGCATTCAAAACGTTTTTTTTTTCTTCATGGACATTCTTATTTGTAATTGACCCATATAGTACTGTGACTTGTCAAAGTAGTAATGATAAAGCATGTGTTGCAGTTACAAGGAGGACCAGAATGATTTTGAGACAGACTCTGATGACCTTATTGAAATGGCAGAAGGAGCCGAGGAGCAACAGGACGACGACAGTGAGACCATTGAGAAGGTCCTTGAGACCAGAACTGGCAAAAAAGGCGGTAAAGACCGTTTTTCTTTTTATACTTAATATTCTGTTACACACATCAACTATTGTGCTTGTTTATTAAAGCCCTTAATTTTTCTCCACCTTGTTTACAGCTACTGGAGCTTCCACAACCCTCTATGCTATTGAGGAAAATGGGGACCCCGGAGCAGACTTTGACCCTGAGAAAGACGAAGGGGAGACTCAGTTCCTCATCAAGTGGAAAGGCTGGTCTTACATCCACAGCACCTGGGAGAGTGTGGATTCCCTCACTCAGCAGAAAGTCAAAGGGATGAAGAAGCTGGAAAACTTCAAGAAGAAAAACGAAGAGCTTAACACTTGGTCAGTGCTCATAGACGTGATATATATCCATTTTTATATGATCTCTGGAGAAACTGGAATCTTGAAGCCAAACATGAATGCCATTTTTACAGACTAAAAACTGACAGCAAACGTTGAAATTACGATTTTTTTTTTTAGGATGAATAAAGCATCACCTGAAGATTTAGAATATTACAACTGCCAGCAAGAACTAACCAATGACCTGAGCAAGCAATTCCAGATAGTAGAGAGAATGATCGGTAAGTAAAAAAAAAAAAAAAAAACGGTATCGGCTCCGTTAATGCCTTTTTCTGCCGGACCGATCCGAATCCGATATTGTGCGTATACTATTCTATGTTATTGTTAAGCCCCACGAAAGGCACTATAGTAAAGTTTTCATGCACTATATTCCAAGTCTTCTGAAGCCGTTCCATAGTTTAATGTGAGGTACAGATGAATATTTAAGTCGTTAAATTCAAGTTCACATAAACTCTTTTCTCCGCTGCGGCTGTCTGTCATCTTCCACTCATTCAAGACGATGAAACTCTCCAAGATGATTCAATGTTCCTATTATTATACTTGATCTGTAGATAAAGATGAATGGTTTTGCATAAAAGGACTTTATCTTGCTGGAGTTTAGTGCAGTGTCTGTTAGATCACTACACTGGAGTAGAGAGCACTATGAATTGTTCTTCACGCACACAGTAACTGAAATTTAAAACTTTCATATTATAATAATTTTTCTACAATGAAAGATTATCAATAGCCTTTCTTGTTTTGTCTTATCTATCATATGTTGCTGCCTCATTACTGTGCTATACATGTAAAAGAAATTTCTTTTAAAATTTGTATATATTTATATATAAATGTATTTACTTGTTTTTCATGAATGTATTTTACAACAATACAAAGAGCAATGTGTAAAATTTTAACAGATTCAGTCCTACACTTTTTCACTTTTATTTGTTTCCCACTAGATTGGGAAGTGTTTAGTTTTTATAAAATGATTGAGCACTCATTTGATGAACTTTATCCACTAACCTAGTTTATAATAGTATTTGTGTCATAGATTGTTTCATAGATTTTTTTTCATTTGTTATTTTTCTTTATAATAAAGTTGTCTGTATTTAGTAGATTGTGTTTAACACACAAAAGAGTGAGGAGCAGGTCAACACAGAGGTACATTAATAAAAATAAAAATAACTGCGCTGGTATCGGATTGGTATCGGCCAATGCTCAAAATGTTTGGTATCGGTTCTGAAAAAATGGTATCTGTTCATCCCTAAATTTTATGAATATATATGACTGTTTTTACTGTATTTTTAGCAAATAAATAGCCTTAGTGAGCATAAGAGATTTCTTTCAAAAACATTAAAAAAACTTACCAACCCCATTTGAAAAGGTAGTGTATATGCACTAAAGCAGCTCTCACTCCCAGCATGCTAACGCTGCATTTATTTGATCAAAAATACAATAAAAACAGTAATATTATGAAATATTATTTCTATTTAAAATAACTATTCTATTTTAATATATTAAAAAAATGTATTTATTCCTGTGATGGCAAAGCTGAATTTTCAGCAGCCATTATTCCAGTCTTTAGTGTCACATGATCCGTTAGAAATCATTCTAATATGCTGATTTTGTGCTCAAGAAACATTTCTTAGTATTGTCAATGTTAAAAACCATTGTGGTGCTTAATATTTTTGTGGAAACCATGATGTTTTTTTTTTTCTTTCAGTTTTT